TGCTTCTTGAACCTTCATAGGTACATCTTTCTTTAGGTTGGGAAAGTTTTCTTCTATAATTTTATTAAATATATTTTCTGGGCCGTTGAGTTGCACCTCTTCTCCTTCTTCTACTCCAATTATTCTTAGGTTTGGTCTTTTTATTGTGTCCCATATTTCCTGAATGTTTTGTGATGAGAATTTGTTGGTTTTGCTGTTTTCTTTGATCAGTGTGTTTATTTTCTCTATGGTATCTTCAGTATCTGATATTCTTTCTTCTATCTCTTGTATTCTGTTGGTAGTACTTGTCTCTGTAGTTCCTGTTCGTTTACCCAGATTTTCCATCTCCAATCTTCCCTCGGTTTGTGTTTTCTTCATTACTTCCATTTCATTCTTCAAGTCTTGAACTGCTTCCCGTACCTGTCTGATTGCTTTTTCATGTTTCTCTTGATTTTCTTGGGTATCTTTAAGCGATTTATTCATTTCCTCTACCTTTTTGTTTGTAATCTCTAATTGTTTATGGCAGTTTTTCACCTCCTGCTTAAGGTCTTCTATTATTTTCATATAATTCACTTTTGAGTCGATTTCTTCTAATTCTTCTGGAGTAGGGTGTACAATTCTTCTTATTTCGGGATCCCTTGATTCTGGTGAAGTCATGTTGCCTTTCAGGTTGTTGGAGGAAGTCTTGCATTGGTGCCTTCCCATTCTCCTCCTTCAAATGGAGCCAGGAGAGGCATGGTGTCTTGGTCCAGTCTTTGCTGTGAATGAGTCTCTGGGTGTATCTTTTCAGTGTAGAAGCAGGGACCGTCCCGTTGAGCTGGAACTCCTCAGCACCCAAACATGGACTACCGTCCAGATGGAGCTCCTTAGGACTGCTCTGGGTCGGTTGTGGATGCAAGCCTGATGACTCTCCTGGTGCCAGGTTCGGATCTCCTTGCTGCTTGGGTGGTTCGTGAACAAAGGACCTACCTAGCTCGGTGCAGGCAGGCTAGTGGGGACAATGGAGCTATCACCCTCCCGTTTGCCCTGCCGATTCGGATTTGGTCCTAGAGCTCGAACAGGCTGGGCTGGGAGATGGTATGTGGTCAAAGAGGGAAGGGAGTCCTATCAAGAAAATTTTTATGTAGCATGAATATCCAATTATTTGTACATAAAATATAGGAACATATCAAAAGTTTCCTGTCATATAGATTTAATATTGTTCATGTTCGGCTTACTAAAATAAATGGGGTAATTACAGAAACAAATAATGTAACCTGCTACTGAAGTACTTATTAGCGGAGGTAAATTAACTTCTATTGATGAAATAAACAACCTACATCTACTCCTATTTCCAGTTTTCTTAGCAGAAAATTAGAAAGTTTTAAAAAGTTCATTCCTAAACTATGCTTATGGCCTTGTAGCAATTAAGGTAGCTGGGGAAATATTTGTTTATATCTTAAATGGTCAAAGTTTTTTGGGGAGAGGCCACTTATTTTGGATGCTCAGCCCCGAAATAATCACACAGTAACAATATTATTTAAAACACTGCTTGGCCTATTAGCTCTAGCTTCTTATTGGCTAACACTTATATATTAATTTAATCCATTTCTAGTAATCTGTGTATCATCACATAGCTATGGATTACCAGTTAAAGTTTCCAGTGTCTGTCTTCTGCAGGGCTATTTGGCTTCTCTCTGACTCTGCCTTCTTCCTCCCAGCATTAGGTTTAGTTTTCCCTGCCTAGCTAAGTTTTGCCTTACTATAAGTCCAAAGCAGTTTCTTTATTGTCATATAATATCTCTTTAACCTGGATTTTTATTTTTTATTTTTCTTCTGCTATTCAATTACCTTTATTTGATTTGCAGCAAAACATATGCAGCTATTTATTGACCATTTTCTTGCTACTTTATGGCCCCTGCATTTAAAGTTGCTTAACCTTAATTGTTCTTAAATTAACACTCATATAAATAATAACCTGTCTGATTTGGAAGAATGTTAATTGTCTTACAGGAAACAGTGCCCTGGTTTGTTTCTTCAAAATTGTTTTTCCTGGGAATAAAGTAGGCAAGACTCACTACTTGGGCTATTTTGGTCAGTGGGATGAAAGAAGGCAGCTGGATTTAAAAGTGTTGAAAGGCTTTATCTGTTGCCCATTTTGAAAAGTGCAGGACTTGATCCAAATAAGACTGTGGTATTTTGCCCAAATACTTACTGCATATCTTTTAGCTAGTTGTAACTTTAATAAATAATTTTTTTGGTCAGCTTTGCACTAGCCAGAGTCATCTAAGAGGAGGAAACCTCAATTGAAAAAAAAATGCCTCTTTACTTTCAAACTGTTAGGAGTTTTCTTAATTAATGATTGATGTGGGAGGGCACAGCCCATGGTTATTGGTACCATCTCTAGGCTTGTGGTCCTGGGGTTTATAAGAAAGCAGGCTGAGCTTACCATGATGAACAAGCCAGTAAGTTGCCTCACTCCATTGGCTCAGTCCAGTAATATAAAAAATTATGAGACTGAAGCAAACAAATTGTCGTGAGCTTGAGGGCAGCCTGGGTTACATAGTAAACATGCTTGTTGGGAAATGGCTTTTTTATAACTATATAACCATGAAAATACAGATGTAATCTGTTTATGAATTAAGGCCCAGTAAGATGAGGCCTGGTAAAACACTAGGAAAGTACTTTTGTGGTTATCAAGGGAAAATAAATAAAAATAATAATCACTATTTTCAATAAATAAAGGCAACCATTTAATGTTTATATTTACTCTATTTATTCTTAATTAGACCCATGAACTATTATGTTTAATGAACTTAATTTTCTTTCAGGCATATTAATCAGATTTAGATTGTTCAAAGCAGCGGTATAGAGTTTTCCTGTGAAATTGTCAATAGGCAATTATTTATTTTTTTGCCTAAAATTTTTCTACAATGCAAATAAAACCTCTGACACTTTTATTTTGCTATATTTTTTATTTATAATTTTATAGAGTTAATGAAAGTAATGATATATGTCATTGATATTAACTTTCTCTCTATATATGCATATATATGTGTATATGTGTGTGTGTGTGTGTGAGTTTGTGTGTGCTATTAAAATTACAATGAATATTTACCTTTTCCATACATAGGATTTCTGGTCAACTATAAATTTTTTCTTTCTCATTGTAACACAGGTATTTCATTATTGAAAAACTATCATCAATGAATGTCAAGATTTAAAAGAATCTTTCTTTTAAGGAATGGATCTGAAAACAGAAGGGATAAATCAATTGGACTGGGTGTGATTTCTTTCATTTGTAACCATGACTTGTCAGGATAATCCAGGAATATTTTACTCACGGAGTCAAGTATTTGAAAGGTAATATAGGTTGTATCCATACTGAGTTGCTTTCTGTCAAAAGGAGACCTTATTTAAAAGACAAGATCAGTCAATGAGGATAAGTCCCTGCAAATCTATTGCTACAATTGAAGGAAAAATATTAGAAGCACATGTTTTATTTTGAGTGGGTGGGCCAAGGGTGTCAGCTTTATATGCAATGTCAGCATGTTAAAATTTTAACTTAGAAAATATGTATCCAGAAAGATACATATTGCTTATGAAAAACATAGCATAAGGGCTATATATTTTTCTCATTAATAATAAATAATAGCTAACTTTCCAGAACATGTTTTATTTGTTTGTTGTTGTAGTGGGCATCNGAAAAGAATCTTAAATCTCCATGTTTCAGAGACAAGAAAGCTGAGGCTCGGAGGGATTGATTATAGTGATTGTAAGTGATGAAGTTAAGATTAAAATTTAACAATTTGAATTTAGGATACATGTGTTTAGGTAATGGTCCTGATAAATAGATAATTCAGCCAAATTATGCACATATATTTACTAATTATCAACATCGTCATTATTATTATTATTATCATCATTATTATTACTATATCAATGGTACAATAGTAACATTTTGCCTTATGTAGTTTTGCTTACTTTTAGACCTAACTTCCTGGTATAATCAACACCTCAGCAACTTTTCTTCAGCTAAAACTGATGACATAAGTTACAAAATGACAGGTTTGTAAGTTTATTCAGGAGTGAATATTTTGGATGCTTTGAATAATTAGTCATTGATTATTAATTATATGTATTAGACATTTTACAAAGCAATAAAGATATAGAAAAATATGTTAATTTTTATTTTAAAAGATGAATTATGGATCTTCACAGTATAGATATATAATAACAAATGATCACTGGTGGATTATAGAGATTCATAAGTAAACTAATATCCTTGTAAAATTTAACTGTGCCATTAACTATGGTTTGTATGATCTGGGTAAGTGAATCGTATCAGAACACCTAGGAAAAAGGTGAAAAAGTGAGAAGGTGTGCCAAAGATAAGCTTGAATGGAAAACTCATATGTAAACCTACTACTTTATAGACTTACTAAATATATAACTTGGAAAACAAGAATTGCAAATGCAAGTAATCTGCATGAGTTTATAATATTTTCTTCAGAAGTCATACATTTCTAAATGAAAATCTCAGTGTCAGATATGTTATAACTTCATTTGAGTTTTTAACTGGAAAGGTCTCAGAGGCTTCCAAAACAATATACACTATTGTCCCTGCTTGTAGCTATTCACAACAACTAGATGGTAAACTGTATTTCTGAAGACACCACAGATTTTGGTTGCAGGACCCAGAAAAATCAATCTGTAAATGCCCTAGAAAGTTCCTCACTGCTGCATAGCTTTCATTGTGTTTAAAGGTCCTACATAGGCTGTTAGGAGAGAAAGGAAACCAATGGTTTTAACCAGTTCTGAATTCAGTATGCTACAGTTCTGACCAGCTAAGCAAGGCATGCCCACTAATGCAATGGATATCTGACAAATATGGGGATAACCACATTTTCTAGGGAGGGAGGACATGAGACATGGGGGAGAATGTACTAAATGAACTTGTAGGTTGAGCTCTACATGCCTGTGCCACTCTCATATTAGGTCAGGGAAGCTTTTTCTTGAAGTGGAAAATAATGAATGCAGAAACTCATAACTGGTCAGAGGGAGAGGGTAAGTGACTACTGAGGACTCAACCTTAAATGTTGCATCTATTTCACCTGATGTGGGAGTGATTTCTTTCTAATCTGTTGCTTTCATTGGTTAATTAATAAAGAAACTGCCTAGGCCCATTTGATAGGCCAACCCTTAGGTGGGTGGAGTAAACAGAACAGAATGTTGGGAGAAAGAAGCCGAGTGAGTCATCACCATGATTCTCCCACTCAGGACAGCCGCAGGTTAAGATTTTTCCTGGTAAACCAGCTCATGGGCTACACAGATTATTAGAAATGGGTTAGGTCAATATGTAAGAGCTAGCCAATAAGAGGCTGGAACTAATGGGCTAGGCAGTGTTTAAAATAATACAGTTTCCATGTAATTATTTCGGGTAAAGCTAGCTGGGTGGCGGGACACAGCCAGCTGCTCCTATTACAACAGAGTGGCAATATGCCTTCACCTTCCTTCACCCACTTCAAGGTCCAAGAAAAGAAAATTACAGAAGGATATAGAATCAGAGGATGGAGAAGAAGCTATTGAATGCTGTTTTTTTTTTTTTTTTATGACAAGGTCCTTACAAATCATGAACATACAGCAGCTATGGTTACCTTCACTAGACTTACATATATGTGTACACATGGACATATACACACACATACAGAGAGACAGACATGGATAAAGAAACAGACAGAAATTAAAGTGGAAGGGTGAGTTACAAAAATTAGCATGAGTACGGAGGTATTACAATGCAGTCTGCATATTTATTCAGTTTCCAAAAGTAGACATCTAAGAGAGTAAAAGGTTAAATGCCACATATATTCTGTCACAAATTTTTAGACTCACCTTCAGTGCATTTAGGATTAATTCCATGGTCCCTCAAGTAACAGAAATATGTTATATCCTAGAAGCTCCTTCATGTGACTGCAAATGACATTGCTTCCATTTGTTCCAGTGTTATATCAGATTAGGATATTTTCTATTAACTCATCTGTTTTGTACATTTAAGTTTATGACACATGTCAGCTATTGTAAATAATGGTGCTATAGCATGGAACTGCAGGTATCTTGTTCAAAATACATATTTAATTTTCTTTTAATACCCCACAGTGGTACCACTGAATCATGGGAATTTTACTTTTATTAGTAGGGATTTGACATTATTTTCATAAAGATTATACATATCATAATGTGACAGGAATCAATTTTCTTCACAGTGGTCTCATATATGACATTCCAAAGTTCAAAAGTCTTATACCACCAATTTCATCTTTATGTGCCAGTATACAGCTGTGAAGAACATATTTTTGTCAAATTTTTAGATGATTTTATGCTGATCATCAGTTCAACTAAAAACAGTTGGTACCTTTGCATCCTTCGTCATTTTGCTTTTGAATAGTGGGAGATTCTTTTTTAATTTGTACATTTGAAATAGATTCTAATATTGTATGTGTCTTAAGATACTTAAACATATTACATATTCCTATGTAACTCATTGTAGTTTGGATGTTAAATGTCTCATGTGTCTAAAGCAAAAGTGTTTTAAAGACAGGATTTTAGGGAGTTTTTTAGCTCATGAGGGATATGTCTTTATAAGTGAGTTGAAAGATGTATGGAATTTATTAACAAGTTCTAAGAAAAATGCTTTAAGATAGAATTATTTTTGCTTCCTGTATTGCATGAATTGAATAGATTCACGTCACTATGAATTCCCCAATATGATGCTTAGTTTCATTATAGGCAGGCAAATAAGTAAAAAGTGAACAAGAGCTGAGGTTTTGGAAACTGGGTTAAATAAACATTTTATCCTTTAAGCTTATTTATCTTGGATATTTAGTAACAAATATAGGAAACTAGTTAACACACAACCACATCAAACCACTTTAAAATATTTCTCTCCCTTAACTTTGTCAGAGCACTACCTATTTCTATAATGTCTCCTTGTCTTACCTTATTTAAGTCAAATTAATGTTCAGTACAAAGTGTTGATGATAGTGAACTAAACCTCTGAATTGTAAGACAGCCCACACTCAAATTTTTTGTTTATAAATGTTGCTATGATTGTCATGCCTCTTTACAGCAATAAAAACTCTAAGATAAATACTGACACCAGAGTGATACATTTATTACTATTATTACTTTCTCATACATTAAATCCCAACTGCGGTTTCCCCTACCTCACCTCCCCCAATCTCTTCCACTCATCTCTTCTATCCCCCAGATCCATGCCCCCCCATCTCCCCTCAGAAAAGAGCAAGGCCTCAAAAGGACATCAATCAAATATTGCATAATATGCTACATGACCAGGTACATACCATAAAAGCAAGGCACCTCAGTAAGAGGAAAAGGATCCTGTAAGTAGGCAAAAGAGCCAGTCAGTGCCCCATCTTCCACTATTATGAACCCCATAAGAAGACCAAGCTATTTATCCATAATATATATGCAGAGGACTTTGATCAGGCCACTACATACTCACTAATCTCTTGAGCCTTCATGAGTACTGGTCAATTGATTCTGTGGGTCAAGTTCTCTTCATGTCCCTGGCCACTCTGGTTCCTCCTATCCTTCTTCCCATACTTCCCTAAGATCCTCCTAATGTTTGCTGTGGAACTCTGCATCTGCTCCTATTTGGTTGTTGTATGAAGTCTCTCTGGTGTCTTTGATAAGGCTTCTGCTAGGTTTTTTTGTCCAGAAAACACTATAGGTAGGACAAACTGTAGGTCAAAGATTTTGTGACTGGATTAGTACCCCAATTCCTCCACTTGAGTACTATCCTTATTACAGAAGATGCATGGTTCAGGCTCTGTGTCCCTTATTATTAAGAGTCTTTGCTAGGGTCACTCTCATAGATTCCATGGAGTTTCCATTGCACTAGGTTTCCACCTCACCCCCAGAATGCGCTGAAATTCCAGTCATTTTCCCCAGTGTTCTCCCCAAATTTATCCCTCCTGTTCTCAACCCAACCATCCTCCAGTCCACTAGCAAAGTCTATTGTACTTTTCCTTCCCAGGGAGATCCTTGTGTCTGTCCTTTGTTACTTTATCTTTCAAGGTCTGTGGATGTTAACATAACGATCTTTTATTTTACAGATAATATTTACCTATAAGTGAGTATATACCATGTATGTCTTTCTGACCTCACTCACTCAGGATATATTTTTTTTCTATTTCTATCCATTTGCCCACAAATTTAATGACGTCATTATTTTTTAACAATTGACTATTACTGTATTATGCAAATGCATCACATTTTCTTTATCCATTCTTCAGCTGAGGGACATCTAGTTTGGTTCCAATTTCTGGGTATTATGAATAAAGCTGCTATGAACATGGCTGAGCAAATGTCCTTGTGATACATAAGATAGAACATCATTTGGATATATGACAAGGAGAGATATAGCTCAGTCTTGAAGGTGGATAAATTCCCAACATTCTGAATAACCACTGTAGTGGTTTCCTTAAGTGATTATACAAGTTTCCATTCCCACCGGCAGTGGAAGAGTGTTCCCCTTCATCTACATCCTGACCAGCATGACTGTCACTTATGTTATTGATCTTAACCATTCTATAAGGTATAAGATATAATCTCAAAGTCATTTTGATTTGCATTTTCCTAATGGGTAAGAATGTTGAATATTTCTTTATTTCTCAGCCATTTAAATTTCTTCTGCTGAGGAAATTTTTCTCTATTTAGATTTGTGCCCCACTTTTAATTGGATTTTTGGTTTGTCGATGTCTAGTTTATTGATTTTTTTACATATTTTGATATCAGCCCTCTGTCATATGTAGAGTTGATGAAAATCTTTTCCCATTCTGTAGGCTATTTTTTTGTCCTAATGGTGGTGTCTTTGGCCTTACAGAAACTTTTCGGTTCCATGAGGTTCCATTTTAGATTTTTTTAATGATTTATTTACTTTTAGTTTATGTGCATTCAGGTTTTGCCTGCATGCATGTCTGTGTGAGGATGTCAATTCCCCTAGAGCTAGAGTTCCAGATGGTTGTGAGCTGTCAGGTGAGTGCTAAGAAACAATTGTGGTTCTTTGGCAGTATAGACATGCTCCTCCTAACTGCTGAGCCATCTTTTCCAGCTGCTAAGTTTGCATTTATTGAAAATCTTAGTTGCTGCACTCTTGGTATTCTGTTGAAGAAGTTGTCTATTGTGCCAATATACTCTAAGTTATTTCCCATTTTCTCTTCTAGGCTCAGTGTTTCTGGTTTTATGTTGATGTCTATGATCTATTTGGACTTGAGTTTTCTTCAAAGTAATAGATATGGATCTATTTGCATTCTTCTACATGCAGATGTCCAAGAAGGCCAGCACCATTTGTTGAAGATACTTTCTGTTTTCCATTGTATAATTTTGGCTTCTTTGTCAAAAGTCAAGTGTCCATAGGTGAGTGGATTTACTTCTGTGTCTTCAATTTAATTCCATTGAACAACTTCTCTGTTTTTCTTTTAATGCCACGTGGTTTGTATTGCTATTATTCATAGTAGAGCTTGAAATCGGCAATGGTGATACCTCAGGAAGTTCTTCTATTGAACAGAATTGTTTTAGCTATCTTAGAATTTTGACATTCCATATGGAGTTTAATATTGTTCTTTCAACATCTATAAAATGCATGAGGGAATGGGATGCTCAAGAAGGAGGAAGGAAAGTGGGGGAGAAAAAGGAAAATGCTATCTTGATTGAGGGAGCCATTAAAAACTAGTGAAAAAATAACAGTAGGGAAATTCCCAGGAATCCAGAAGGATGAACCCAGCTAAGACTCTAAGCAACAGTGGAGAGGATGCATAAACTGGCCTTCCCCTGTAATTTGATTAATGACTACCTTAATTGTCTTCATAGAATTTTCAACTAGCTACTTGTGGAAGTAGATACAGAGATCTACAGCGAAGAGCTGGGCTGAGCTACCAGAGACCAGTCAAAGAGAGGGAGAAGTGATAATATGAACAAAGGGGTTAAGGTCATGATGGTGATGCCCACAGAAACAGCTGACCTGAGCTAGTGAGAGCTCACTGACTCTGGACAGATAACAGGGGAACCTTGAATGGGACCTATCTAGACCCACTGAATGTGGGGGACAGTTGTGAGTGTTGCTCAGTTTGTGGGGCCACTGGCAGTGGGACCAGGATTTATCCCTAGTGCTTGAACTGGCATCTAAAAACACATTGTCTTTGAAGGGATACCTTGCTCAGCCTAGATATTATATGGGGGAGGGCTTTGATCTTTCCTCATATTGGAGTGTCAGACTTCATTGATCCCTTATGGAAAGCCTTACCCTTTCTGAGAAGTGGATGGAGGGTGGGGTGGAGAGAAGGGTGGAATGGAAGAAGGGGAGGGAGTGGGAAAGGGATAGCTATGTAAACTGGAAAAGGAACATATTAAAAACTCCTAATTAAAAAAAGAAAAATATTTTAAAAAAAGAAAGAATTGTGTTGGCAGAAGGCTGCTCATGTTGTCCTGGCTGCTAGACGCAAAATAATCACACAGAAACTATTATTTGCAATACTGTTTGGCCAATAGCTTAAGTGTATTTCTAGGAACCTCTTATATCCTATACTAACCCATCTCCATCAATCTGTGCACCCTACTGGCAAAGTTTCAGAATCTGTCTCCTCCACTGGCAGCTACATGACATCTCACTGACTCTGCCTTCTTTCTCTCAGCATTCAGTTTATTTTCCTGCCTAACACTATTCTGCTAAGCCACTGCCTGAAACAGCTTTCTTCATTAATCAATAAAACCAAAACATATACATAAGAACTTCCCACACTATTTCCCATTTTCTGTTTAAATAAAAAGGAAGGTTTTAACTTTAACAGAGTAAAATTACATATAACGAGACAGGCATCAAGCAAGAATTACAATTACAATATTTATACTAACTTTATCTTTTATCATAACTGGAGAAAAATTATAACTATTCTTCAACTCCATTAAAGACTCTAGAAACCTATCTTCTTTTTGCCATCACAAGTACTGTAAGCTCATGTCTTAACTGCTAGAACTTGCTGAAGACACCACATGCTTGAGTCATAAGACATGGAGAAAATCAAGTTTGTACTCTGGAAGCTTCATTCCTACTGAGTAACTTTTATAATGCTGAGAGGTGTTATATGGGGTATAAAGAATCACCAGTCTTTTCCAGCTGTGAATTCTGAAAGCTACATTAAGTATCAACCTTGGAAGGCAGGACCAATGGTTCAATAGTGACCCAAATATAATGAGAATTAACAAGCACTTTCAAATTGGATTTAGGACCCATTCCACCAGTTAAAAATCATACTTAGCATCATTATCAAGGTCTGTAGATAGGTTCTAGACTCTAGGAGAAAGTTTATTACAATTAATATGATATATAATAATAGTGTTAAATTGAACCCTAATGATTTATCATTATTTTCAAGTTAGTGCATTTTTCAACTTTCCTCAGAGGGACTTCTTAGAGCAGTAGCTAATGATTAACATAGAGACTAACAGTTGGTGAAGGCATAGATAATAAGAGATGATGGAATGCTTAGTCCTAATGGGGCATCAATATTACATCCCTCCCTTCCAAGGATCAGGGGTCATTTCAGAAGAGGAGAAAGAAAATTTAGAACCAAAGCTGTGAATGAGCACAATGTAATTTCTATTCATTAAATCAATGAAAAAAATCTTTCTTTCTTGTTTGCTTACTTCACAATAATCATTCAAAAATTATGGTGTGTGGTGTGATATCCCATTATGCTTCTAATTACTGTTTCCCTGATAACTTGTGTATTAGATTCTTTCCACAATGGTGCTATAAAGCAACTGTCAAATGACAACTTATGGGAGGAATTTTATTTTGGTTTGTAATTTGAAATGCATGTTGTTTGATGGACCTTTGGTAGTATGGATATATAGCAATTGTTTGCTCAGATTTCAGTGGACCTAGAAGAAGTCACATGCTATGAACTTCAAAATCCATGAGATTCATTTCTTCCAATGGCACCACAAAAGTTTAAAACAGTGCCATAAAGTAAGTACCCAATGTTCAAACACATATGTCTGGAAGGATATTTTAAATCAAACCATGACAATCTGTAAGGATGAGACCTTCGTCAAACAATGTTTTGTCATATATAAATATTATCTGAACAATATTTCTTCATGACTTTTTCCTAGTTTACTAGCTTTGAACTCCTATTTGCTTTCTGCTTTTGAATTACTTAAGTTCTTTAAATAATTTAGGTATTAATCCCTCATTTTATATAGGTCACAAACATTTTCTCCAATTTTGCAGTTTGTGCCTTCAATCTTTTTATCTTTCATTTCCCTTAGAGATATTTTTAGTTTGTTTTAGGCCTATAGTTCAGTAACAGAAAGTGTATAAGAGTCTAAGTCCAATCTTCAGCATAAAAAAACAACACCAAAAAAAAATCTCAGGAGCTTTTACTTTGATGTAATCACATTTTCAGTTCATTATTGAATGTTTGATTGATCATAATACCAAAATACTAAAATATAAAAAGTCTAGGAAAAATAAGATAATATAATAAACAATAACATTTATATGGTATCTTATAAAATATTAAGAAAAATTAAAATTTTCAACTGAGCGCAAACAAAATGGAGTGTCGTTGATGTATGTGAAGAGAAATTTGTGGCTATAAATTCCTGAATTGTAAAAAAAGAATATTTGAATTTCCATTTTAAGATGCTTTCCAAAATCTATATAAAAGAAAAGCACACAAAATTGATCACAAGCAAAGAAAATGAAAATTAATGTAGACATTAGTGAAATAGAAAATTTTTGAAGAAATAAATAAGATAAGAAGTGACTGTATGGAAGATCAACAAAATTGATGGACCTGTATATAAACTATGTATGTGAAAAAAAAAATACAGACCACAGGAATTAGATATCCAGGAAAATAATATACCTTTAGACTTTCAGGACTTAAAATGATTATAAGTGCATACTATTAAAATATTTGTCAGTTTTTCATCTTTTGTAAAAGAAGAACTTGTTTGTATCTGATCTTTCTATTCTTTCTATTGTCTATCTTTATTGATGAACTACTCTGTATATAACTGAAGTTCAATCACTATTATCTGACACAAACTGCACTATGGCCTTTTTGTTGGTTTCTCATGTGAGTAAATTATTAAATAATTTAAAGTGTGAAATTTATTACTTCTAAGGCACTGAAATCTTGGGACTCCTTTAAGGAACGTGAACAAACTTTAAATAAATTAGCAATCTTTTATACCTAGCATTGCCATAGCATCAAATTCTGAGAAACCTTAGATGTTTTAAGTTTTCTGAAGCACTGTAAAATCATTTGTCACAGATGGAACAACCTTTCACTTTGTGTGTTAAGTTGGATGACAATACTTTCATAATTCAGTTTTTGCTATGCATATTGCCTTGCACCTCATTATAGGAATAAAATTGTGTTAATATTTATAACAAAATTCAAAATTCCCACCATTAATTGCTCTTTCCACACACTAAGAGGTTAATATATTATGTCTTTATTAGCTACAATAGGTTCTGTTTTATTAGTTTGTCATACTAGCTTTATCTACATAAGAAGGGAAAATGTTACAAAACCAGAAAGATTCTAGGTATCCTTATTTTATTTATGTTGCTGTGACACTGACCCAAAGTAGCTGATAAATGAAAGGATTTGCTTCACCATAGTAATTTACAGTCTAGCATAAAGGGAAGTTAGTATAAGAACTCAAGTCAGGAACCTGGGGGCAGCAACTAAAGCAGAGTCCAGGGAGGAAGTAATGCTCCTTAACAGGTTCATTGATTTTCTCCATCCATACCTTGCTCAGCCTACTTTCTTATACCATTCAGGACTACCAGCCCAGAAGTGGGATAGGTCCTCTCACATCAGTCATTAATCAAGAAAACATCCTCTTTAGTGGCTTTTGGGATCGTATTCTTCATGATGGGTCTCCTTTCCCAGTCTTAATACATGGGTGCTATAGGAATTCCTACTGCCAGTAGCCTTTAAGTTCCCCACCCACTTGGGTGTGGCCTCTTATACTGTATATGCAGATATAAAGTGCACATCTGATGGCATGATTTGGTTCCTGTTCTCCTTTCATGCAGAAGATTGTGATCAGTGAGTCTAGCCCTAAATAAATAACGCTCTATTAACTGAGCTACTCTGTGGGATTTCTTTTAAGCGTCCATTATCATCTGGAGCCACACGTAAATCCAAACTCCACACCTACCAGGTGGACGGGCTTAAAGGACTAACCAGTCCACAACCCAGAAAGTTTCCCATCCCTGCCCTGCCCACTTGCCTTGCTTTTATACTAAGCTTTTTTTTTTTTTTTTTAAACCAGAGCTAAGCTGACTGTATGTGGACACTTGGAAATACCCTAAGCACATGAACAGCCCCCGCCCC